AGGCTGTTCAAGCTATCTTAAATTATTTTAAACAACAACCCCAGCAAAAATCAAATATTTCCTGAAATAATAACAATAATAACTATTGTAATGACAATAACAATAATCAAAATAATGGTTCTTCTCAATAAAATACTATTGTTTGTCAAATTTGCAATAAACAAGGCCATAGTGTATATGATTGCTATCAAAGGAATAACCATAACAATTCTGGCAATAATAATCAAAGGAAAGAAAACTTTCATTATAATAATAACCAAACCAACAATAATAATTACCAACCACCAAGGAATAATTTCCAATTACAATCTCAAATTTTTCATCTTCAAATAAACAAAAACCTCAACTTACATATTATACACTTTTTGCTGAGAAGTTACAAAACTTTGTTGTTTAAAATAATTTAAGATAGCTTGAACAGCCTGAGAAACCTCATTATTAGACTAATTATTAATAGGAATAGTACTATCAGGATAATAGAAAGAAGGAGAGTAATGGTTAAGATATCCCTATTTAGAGAATAAGAACCAAGAGGCATTCTTTAAGAAAAAGCAGCTTCAGCAGCTTTGGCACAAATTAAGGCCTAGGCTATAGTAGTAGGCAAGAAATTTCAACTGATTTCCAAATTTCACTCCTTAGTCTATCAATAAATTGGTGTAGTTTATTCTCTAATAGATATCGATTATTTGGATCAACTTTTTGATATAGATATTCCAATTCAGCATAATAATCCTCAACAGTTTTATCAGGTTGTTGAACTCGAGATTGGAGATTAGAAAGCTATCGAGATTTTTGATGGGTAGTGCAGAATTGAAGTTGAAATAAATGAACAAAAGATTGAGCTTGCCTTAGATCATTCCTCCAAAACTAAATCCTATTAGCAACAGTCCTCCACCAAGACTGTGCTGATCTTTTTAGATAAGCAAAAATAATAATTAATATTCGAGCCTCCTGAATATTGTTAACAGAACATGCAGTTGCAAATTCATTTAGCCAATATACAGGATCTTATTTCTCTCCTTTAAAGACAGGAATTTGAACAAGAAAAGATTGCTTAGAGGAATATGATTGTTCTTTTTCCATAGCTTTAACTAAACAGTTAAAGTGATATAGAAGTTGTTGAACTTGAGGATCATCAGGTATTGTTTTCTCAGACAGATCCTTAAAATTAAAAGGAGATAAATCATCCAACTTAATAAATAGTTGTTTATCCTTATTAGCTGATGATAAACTCATTAGAGAAATATTTGTAGAAGTTGAAGCTGAAGACATAGGAGGTAGATTTGAAATAGGTGAATTGTGAAGTAATATTGGAGAAGATTGCTATATTGGTAAGTATATATAGGAAGTTGGTACAAACTGAACACCAGCTTCTGTATCCTGGTTATTAGGCAAAAGATCATTAAAAGAATGAATATTGTTAATATAAAGATTATCAAAACCATCATCATTGTTCATTATATTATTATTATTCATTATATAGTCATATTGATTAATAGCACTTTCCCATAAATTATGAAGATTATCTATGTTGTTATTTTGATGATTATTAATTAATTGTTTCTGAGATCTAGAATTTGAAATAATAGAAGAAGAAGAAGAACAAGAAAAAGAAACAGAAAAAGAAAAAGAAGAAAAAGAAGAAAAAAATAAAGCTAATGGTTTTCTTGTTTGTACAAAAGAATAATCTGGTTTCCCAAATATTGCAATTCGAGATAAAGCTGTGCTCATATATACTAAATATTTTCTTAAATTAAAAAGATAGATCCTATTGTCATTGCCAAATTGTAATAAAATTTATTAAAAATTAGCAAGCTGTAGCAAATTTTAAAAGACACAAGTGCCAAGTAGACAATCTTTATTTAAGAAAAATAAAAAGAAAGAATAGAAAAGAAAAATATAAAACAGGATTTAAATTCAATAGTTTCCTAGATACTATAAAGTGATTAGCAATAGATAATTGTATTTAGAGTTAAACCTGTTGGCCAGTTTGTATAGATCAGATATAGCAAATACTTCCCCTTTACAAGGATTATTAGACTTTAGAACTTAGAAATATCTTGAGATATAACCAAAGAAAAGAAAGTACTAATAACCAGACTGTCGATAGCTATATGTGGCTTTTAAATCCTAATAATATAAAGCTAGTATTTGTCAAAATACTATTAATGAAGTTAGCTTTTACTTTATATTATTATCAAGAAAAGAATAAAAAATAATAAAATAAGAGATAGAATTAATAAAATAAAAAGATAAATAATGGTTTTTATTAATACTATCAAGAAAATAATAAATAAAATATAATTTATTAAAGGAATTTTAGGTAGAGACAACTCTGCTTTTTAGAAAAGCAAAAGGCTACTCTTTTTATAGCTTTTTAGACCAATATTCAATTGGTTTTAAGACTACCATGTGTTGTAGTATATTTTTAGATATTCCAAAATATTTAAAAAGCCTTGGCAATATAGAAAATCCAAGTAGAATCTCCTAAAACACCAATAAACAACACCGAGCCAATACCAAGCAAAATTATGTTTATTAATACTCAGCGCTCTATTACTAAATAAGTTACATATTAATTAAAAATAAAATACATATCATTGTGTAGCTCTCATGTTGATCTACAAATTCTATTATAGTTATTTGACGTTTAGAAGCCCTTTTCAATGTGTTGTCCTATAGCTAACTAAAAATAACTATAATAAAATATAATAAATATATAGAAAAAGATACTAAAAATATAATATATACTAAAATAATAATAAGAGATAATAACTAACTATAATATATGAATAAAATATGATAATAACTAATAGAAAAAATAAAAAAAAAGAAATTCTATTACAATATAGTTGAAGGTGTACTATTGTATTTAGAGAAAGAAAATAAAGCTTTATATTTAATAGAGTATTGTCTTCTTTAAGTCTATGAGTTGACGTACTATCTAAGATAAAAAAATTGACTGATTGCCAAGTTATCAAGATATCACTATAGATATATTGATTAAAAATGAATATTTGCATTTATGTGAAACTGTTTTAGTAAAAATACAAGATAAGGTTAACTTATCAACATTTCAAAAAACTCGAGAATTTTGATATTTGTGTATAAATAAGAGGTGAAGTTTATGTTTACCAGTTGTATTATATATTAATAAAACTATTACATGATCATAGAGGCAGACTAGCAAATCTAGTACGTCTAAAGGCACCAAGTCGAAGCTCTGGTTGTACCTATATGGAAGTTAATAACGAAAGAAGCCAGAATACACCAACAATAATATAACACTAACCAATGAGAAGATCAAGTTGAAAGTCAAGGTGAATTGAGGTATTGTCTCCTAGTAATATGATACAAGGCTTATGGTTAGAAGTGTGTATACACGAAATAAGGTTCTGGTAATACACTATATAAGGAAGTACAAATGAGTTATGCTAGTACTACTATACTAGAAAAAAAACGTTAAGTCCTGGGATTGGCAAACTAACAGTGGTAGCCGAAACTTGGCTTGAGATACAGGTTAGTAGTACCTGGGCTGATAAGTGGGAGAGTTTATTTGTAAATAAATATAAAGTAACCCAACAATGTAATACAAACTCAGTCATGTGGTAAACCTAACTAGGTAGCAAGATTCTGGCTTAAGATACGGGCTATAGAAAGGCCAATCTGTATCAATTACGGTTGCACTAATAAAATCTGAAAGAAGACTTGCAGTAGATCGTGTTTGCTGATATACCAACTTGGGAGTTCATAAGGAGCAAGTACCTGATGTACCAATTTGGAAGTTATGACTAGTCATTTAAGATGTGGGAGGAATATAGTGATTACTAGACATAGTTAGTTAAGAAGTGTAAAGCTAGATGAGATATGTGTGGGGCATGGAACATTCTAGTAGGTTTAGGTTGTAGATAAATTAGTCTAAGTTTCTGTAGTTATAAATTAATGTATATGAAATAGTGTACATTAATAAAAACCAGAGACATGACCTCACCTTAATATTAAAAAAAAAAAAAAAAAAAAACTATTATATAATTTTTAGCTTTTTTTGCCTAAAACTAAACTACTGACCAATGTTTTGTCTAGTTTCATGTATCAGTACAATGCAGTTTTATCCATATTGTAAATATTCTCAGATCAATAATCTTTAATTACTTTACATAATTCATTACAAAATCTAGAAAAATCTTATAAAAACGTACTTGTAGCTTTATCTTAATGTTTATACTCCTTTATATAATACTGTAATAGAATTTCTTTTTCTTTATTTTTTCTATTAGCTATTATCATATTTTATTCGTATATTATAGTTAGTTATTATCTCTTATTATTATTTTAGTATATATTATATTTTTAGTATCTTTTTCTATATATTTATTATATTTTATTATAGTTATTTTTAGTTAGCTATAGGACAACATATTGAAAGAGGCTTCTAAATATAAAATAACCATAATAGGATTTGTAGATCAATATGAGGGCTACACAATGATATGTGTTTTATTTTTAATTAATATATAACTTATTAAGTAATAGAGCACTGAGTATTGATAAATATAATTTTGCTCGGTATTAGCTTGGTATTGTTTATTAGTGTTTTAGAAGATTCTACTTGGATTTTCTATATTGCCAAGGCTTTCCAAACGTTTTGGAATGTCTAAAAATATACTACAACACATGGTAGCTTTAAAACCAATTGAATATTAGTCTAAAAAGCTATAAAAAGGATAGCCTTTTGCCTTTCTAAAAAGCAGAGTTGTCTCTACCTAAAATTCCTTTAATAAATTATATTTTATTTATTATTTTCTTGATAGTATTAATAAAAACTATTTTTTATCTTTCCATTTTATTGATTTTATCTCTTATTTTATTATTTCTTATTCTTTTTTTAATAATAATATAAAGTGAAGGCTGATTTCGTTAATAGTATTTTGGCAAATATTAGCTTTATATTATTAGGATTTAAAAGCCACATATAGCTGTCAACAGTCTGGTTATTAGTGCTTTCTTTCCTCTGGTTATATCTCAAGATATTTCTAAGTTCTAAAGTCTAATAATCCTTGTAAAGAGGAAGCATTTGCTATACCTGACCTATACAAACTAGCCAATAGGTTTAACCCTAAACACGATTGCCTATTGCTAATCATCTTATAGTATCTAGGAGGCTATTTAATTTAAATCCTGTTTTATGTTTTTCTTTTCTATTCTTTCTTTTTATTTTCTTTAAATAAAAGATTGTCTACTTGGCACTTGTATCTTTTAAAATTTGCTACAGCTTGCTAGTTTTTAGTAAATTTTATTACAATTTAGCAACGACGACAGTACCTATCTTTCTAATTTAAGGAAAATATTTAGTATATATGAGCACAGCTCTACCTCGAATTGCAATATTTGGAGAACCAGATTATTCTT